AGGCTAGTGCAGATTATTGTTAAGTTTCTAAATGTAATATTTTTTGTATTAGCATAGTCTAAAGTCTCTCAACTGCTACTAAGTAAAGCAGGTGTATCCTGAAAAATAATTCCTTTGATTTTGCTGGTATCCACTGGTATTAAATTTAGGAGCCCTCATATGGGGATTGGAAATTGAATGTGTGGCTGGCATGTAGACTGATGTTTGCAACCTCAAACACATAGAGAATAGCAGGGCCATCAGTAGAGAAATAGTTGTGTGGTTATAGCATTGCTCATGACTGTTCTCAGCATGTGAAGCAGTCCTTTGGGACCAGAGACAGGCAAGTGCAACTGCAAGTTAAGGCAAACATTGTTCTCTAGTCCAGTTGCTACATTTTCCCACACAGTCCTGGGGTACATGAGGTACCTCTGTCCCCTGAGAAGGATGACATTCTTAACCCAAGGGTCAGCATATTCACCCTGTTTATGGCAATTTCTTAGCTTCCTTTCAGTATTGTCTTACAAAGAATAATTCAATATCTGTTCATGACAAAGCTGAAGTAAACTCATGCAAAATTCCAGGAGCATGTGAGTCTTTAATTGACCCAGTTCTCCTGACTGGAGGTGGCTCTGACAATTGGAAACTTGGTGAGCAAAGATTAAGGATGCTAAGTGATGTTCTACCCCCATCCAGTTTCCTGCTAAGAAAGGCAAAAGCTAAGCACTGTGAGTGTGTGTGTACCTGCTCTCTCAAAGCTATAGCTAGCTTGCTGGAAAAGGCTCAAATAAATATAGAAAATGTCCTGAAGCCAAATTAGGTGTAAGGATATCTATAAGATGTTAGTATCTATGAAGTTTAATTTCTTCGTCTCCAAATTGGATGATTTCTTTTTACAATATATTGTGCTAAAATTCAGAGTTCATCTCACTTGTGCTTAAAATCTGTACAGCATTGAATGATTTCAGAAAGAATGTCAAATCTGAGGAAACCTGTTACTGAGGATTGCCAACCCTAACCCAAGCATGCTAGTTTATTCCATTACTGTAATGTGAGCATTCTGCACAAGGGCATTTTGCATTCAGCTGGGCCCCAGCATTATGCCTCAAGGGCCAGGATGTAGGCTGGGAATACAGGAGGCTTTAGTTTGGAGAACAGTCTTCCCATAACAAGAATTAGCTAGAGATAGGTGTGACACTCAGTAAGACGTAAGAGAAGACTGGGGCCTCAGAGGTCCCCTCCAGATTAAATGGAAAAAAAAAAGAAAAAAAGAAGGAATTATTTTTGCTAAAAAGTTAAGGATTCAGTTGCCTTTTCTGCTGCTGCTATGCCAGAATATACAATTGTTAACCTAATGGACTCCAAATACTTTTGTATTCCAGGTTGTTTTCAAACACAGATTGTGCTGTATTGAAAAATAAGCCCTTCTGAAGGGATGCAAAAGTTACATTAATGAAATGCCATAAAATTGTGGAACTGATAATGATTCATTGTGAGATAATATTTCAGTAATATGGAAGTTACTTCAATGTTTTTCTCTCCAGTTCAGTTACTGCTAATGAAAAAAAGAAAACATTTGGTTGTTTAAAGGAAAAAGGTTTAAGGTCACTAAATATATAGAATTGATTGTAAAATTAGCTTTCTGTTTTTTTTTTTGTGTATGTGTGATTAGAATACTTAGCAATAGAGTGACTTAATTCCTTTTTATCTCATCATTGCATAAGTTGCAGCTCACATCACTAATAATTATTTACAGGTGAAAACCAGGGTCCACTATTATTTGGCTCACATGCTATCCTGTGAGTTGGAGATGGTTATACTAAGTTAGTCTTGGTTTAATTTATATGCATCTGGTAAAAGCTTTGTTCCCATGCAGAGATAGTGTCTGCTGTATTATTGAGCAAATTGTTAGAACCTCAAGTATATATATAAAAAATAGATTTTACTGAGCATGTCTGCTGCTTCTTAAACTGGCTTATTTCAGAATGACATTCTAAAGCTTTCAAATTGTTCAGTTCATACAGTACCAAGAAATAGGCAGACTTAGCAAATAATACAAATAAATTCACTGTATAGTTTTACAAGTATTATGTCCAAAATGTGAATAAATGTCACATCTAGGAAATGCAGGTTTATTATTATAGCACTATTATATAGATTTGACTACAAAGAAAAATAAAAATACAGCTACCTTCATACAAAACAATATTCCAGGAAATCAAAGCAGATCAGAAAACTAGGTTACAGATAGTATTAACTGGAAATGTTTTGCTTCCAGCAGACACATAGTGGATTACATGTCTTATGCATGTAATTATGGTTCTAATTCTGCAGCTTTTAATTACATGGAGGATAGTTTCCACACATGTAATTTCTCACTAAACTGAGTAGTGATGGCTTATATGAGTAATTATTCAGACCACTCCCTCTAGGACCTAAAGCTCAAGTGTGTATTTATATATAAAGTTACACATGCAATTAGCATATCAGATTAAGTTGCTAAGGGAGTATCATGTTTGGTGTGTCAGGTACTCCGCAGTCATTTTATATGGTATAAATAGTTAAATATTTTCTTTTGTCTTCTTTTCTCAGTTCCACCTTTCTTACTTGTTTATGTAATTTATATATACATTCTTCTGGATCATACAGAGGGAATTGCATTTGAAGTTGTTTTGTTGTTTGTTTTTTTTTTTTTTCCTCAGGACAATTATATGTGGCTGCATGACCCGACATCTACCATTCTTACAAAACCCTCATGGTTTTCTTAGATATGCTTTAGGCTATGTAATTTCTTAATGCTGGGACACATCAGTGAGTTTGACTGTACATGTTCTTTGAACATTTATTTGTAGAAGACAGGCTTGACTGATCACAGGCTTCAGTGATTGTTTTAATACATACTGGAAAACTGACCAAAATAATAGACCAACACATTTATAGTATGATTGTCACTCCATTTCTTTGTACTTAAATTAGAATTGACTTTTAGAGGATTATTTTGTTCAATTTGGTAGAGATGTTATTAGTAAGAATATGATAAATAATGCCATGCAATACTATGTAAATAAACCAAAACATACAGTCCAATCAAACAAAACAAACCAACCCAACACACCTGACACTGTGGAGGCTTCAGAAGTCAAATTTCTGATCCTGAGAGAAAACGTAGGAGATACTATGACAAAATTACTGAAACTGAGCAATAAATTGCTTTTGCTAGCTAGCCTCTGTGGGTGAGAGATTTTCAGGGATCATGTAATTTCATTTGTGTTTGCCTGCATGGCTTCTAGTCACGTTTCTTCCAGCATGAAATGCTTGTGCTTGGCTGCATGAAAAGATGCAGCTGAGCCTCCAGGCTGGTGAAATGCCATGTGACTTTCCACCTGTTCACAGGTTTCATCACTGTTTCCAACTGCAGCAGCAAGTTGTCAGGATGGATGACAAGGTCCATCCTTGTGGGACCATCTTCTTCCAATAGAAAGCCATGTGTAATGTGAAACAGAGAGAGAAAAGGGTTGTCTTATAAAATTGGTAGTAACATGTAGCAAATCAAAATATTTTTACTCTTATTCTGTATGGAGTTAATCAGAAAATGGGTGGTGAGTTCCACTCAGGGATATTTTATATTCTTTGTCCCACTGGATATAAAATACTACCTTCTTCCAGAGAAGCTATAGTTGAACCTTGAAAAGCTATTGTATTTAACAGAAAGCATGCTTTGCTAACATACGATGAAGACATATTTACTACTCCATCCATCCATCCATCCATCCATCCATCCATCCATCCATCCATCCATCCATCCATCCATCTCCTTCCTTTTCCTGTCCTTCCCTCAACACAAGGTAGTTTTATACAAAAGACATCATTTTCTAATCCCACTGTTATTGTATGCTTACCATAGCAAATGCTGCTCATGTGTAGACTTCTGTTTTGTCCAGATCTCTTCCTGCATTAAAAGACTTACATAATCGTATTGAGAGAAAGCGTTTAGAGACCTGTAATCCACTGGTCTTACTGAATGACTTTTTACATAATGAGAATCTGTCAAGGGTAAATATGTTGACTACGAGTTCTGTTAGCACTTAGAAACAAGATATTTACGGAAAATGTACATAATACTAAACACTATAAGAGAAGGAAGAGAAAGCCCATAATGAATCCTTTCAGACTACAGGCAATAAACACATTTAATTTTTAATCTGAAAACTAGTCACATCAGTCATTGTTTTTATATAATTGCATTCACATAAAAATATTTTCATATTTACCTGAAGAATTTTGAAACTAATTTATTTCACATAATGTTGAAGTTTTTATGTTACATTATTTGCAACGTAAGGAGAATGACGTTAATTATGGTTCTCTGTTCATTTTCTTAATAAACTGCAAAACAGTGTAGAGGGACTTCATGGTAATAGACTGGAAATTTTGGAATAAAATTAAGATATATCACTATATTCAAGTGTGGGAACCTGAGAAAGGTGCATTTATATACAGAGAACTGTAATGAGAGTTACTTTTATTCCTGTGATTGAAATAAGGATTTTTTGTTTAGAAAAGCTTACTGACAAGCTGTATTAATATTGCAGGTTTTGTTTGGTTTTAATTACTGCTGCAAGCCAACAAGTAACTTATAAGAACAGACTTTAAGTTAAATAAATAGTGACATTAACAAATTTCAATTATTCAAAGTGTAGAAAACACCATCCGTGCACAGGCAAAACCAGTATAACTCAACTCAGGAATATTTTAGTTTACAGCAAATTTAATGCATATATCCTGTGAATAAAGACAAAAGGACTGAAGTAGAACAACACTGAAATGAAGCAATTACCATTTTCTTTTGTACCGAAAGCACAGTAACATTCTCATTCATTGATCAGCATGAGCGTTTGCATGTCATTATACTATTTAGAGTATTTTTAAGTTTGACCTCCCATTTTTCGCTGACAGAAATCGCATTTCCAGTCTCCTTCCTGTTGTATTCCAGTGGCTGGAAAAAATGAAGACTGAAAATATACAACATTGCTTTATTTCTTAATTTGAAAGAAGCATCAGTACTTTTGGGCAGTGGTGGTTTCATCTTGGTTTGACATTGTGCGCTGTTGTGCCTGACTTCCGTCACATGGAGCGTACACTTGTTATCTAGTGTAGGAGAGTAGGAGATCAGTGGCAGGAACATGATCTATTTAGATAGTGCCAATCCTGTTAGAATTCTACTTAATCTATTAATTTTAGATAGTCTAAAGATAAGATGATACAGATTTTTAGGTACAAACTAATGATGAATAAATCTGCAGCCAGCTTTGACTTAAGATTTGAAAGGACATTATCTTTCCAAGGTCCAGTCCTTTAAATACTAATGTTTACATACTTATAATGAAGCAAGACACATAGTTATAGGCTACATATGTGAATTCTTTGAGTCCTGTATCCAAAAATCCAAATTCAAAAAATTGCAACTGACTGAAAATTTACAATTCACTGACTTGCTGAAGCTTACTTTGGAAGATGAGATTACTTGTTCTTAAAGGTTCTACACAACTAACCATGAATAAACACTGTACCCACTTCAGGACACCAAGATATATGGTAATGAACACTGGGTAGGTGTTACCATTTACTAATCCACCAGAAACCAGACTTGCATTACTTGGGTTTTCAGAACATGTGGTTAAGCAATCTGATTTCAGAAGGAACATGGAGCTTTCAAGAAGCACAGCACAGAGTCCAACTTCTTGACCACCTTCCTCTGAACTAAATAAAAGCAGAGCACAGAGTTCAAATGCCCACAAATCCTCAAGGACTAGCAGTGGCACTCCAAATATGTACATTCTCCTGCAGCTTTTGCTGTATTTTCCATGAATTTGTTTAGTCAGGATGACTGTGAAGGAGATGATCCCATTTAAATCAACACACAACAATTACACCTTGTCTAGACAGATTGAAGCAGTAGCACCAATAAGTACAGGCCTGATTTTGTTCGAATGCTGCCAGGGATCTGAGGACCTTGATTAATTATGTAGAAACCCCATCCTATGAAATGAAATACATGTACTTCACATGGAGTGAAATACAGTAAAAAGGAACGTGGAGTCATCTTATAAAACTGAATTCGCATGAGAATGGAGCTACGCTGGATTTATGGGTAGAACTTGCAATATCCTTCAGCGTAAGGATAGTCTCTAGGCTGTAATTCAGGCCTCCACCTACTGTCTTTTCTCTATTATTTTCTTTCTCACGTACAAAATGACCGGATTCAAATTTGTCACATTTTTTCTCCCCATATCCAGTTCTCTTAAGTTTTAAAGAATAAAGTGCTTGCTGAAGTTTTTCAAAGTATGTTTAGTTCTGAACTCAAAAATACTAGCTGTTTATGAGTGTTGTCCACATCATTTTATTTAACAAGCATCAAGACTATTGTCTAAGAACTTCACAAAACATGTCTGGTTGCTACTGTTTAATAATGTGCCCATAATAATCGCTGCAGAGGAATAATAAATTACTAATCCCCAATATTACAGGGCCTTTGTATTCGGCCATGGAGTGCTTCATACACCTATGGCACTAGAAAGTATGAACCATGCTTTCTTGATCGGGTGGTGTGTGTTCACAGTAACAGGAGGTATTTCCATAAAGTTACACAAGAAACACCATCAAACATGGGTCCTTTTACAAAAACATAAAGCTTGTCTGCAAAATTAGTGTCTGTCCCCTCAGCTTTACATGTAAATGTAGACAATTCCATAAGGAAGCACTGGAAAATTTTACGATGCTCTTACATTTACCTGCCAAAATTGCCATGTATCAAGCTGGACCAGTCCTACAGGCTCCCTGCTTCACAGGTTAATCAGACAAGAGTGAGGCAGGAAACTGAGAGGCATTTTCATCTATCTCTGGTTTTCTGCAAAGAATTCAAGAACTTGCAGAAATGTGACAGTCCATAAACAGGCATCAATCCCTGCCTGCCAACCTGAGAGAGGATCCCTCTGCATTATAGAAAGGTCTGCTTTAAATTTTTTCTTTTCTTCTAAAATCTATTTTCAAAAATGACCGCCTCTGCTGTGGGCAGATTCATTGCTCCTATTTCCATAGTTAATTGTGAGATGCAAACCGTTAACTTCTACAAAAAGAAAAATTGGAACCAGTTGCCTTTCTGTAGGGGAACACAAACTCATGGTACATGTGGATGAGAACTCTTGCTGGGATTTTTCTGAATACGCAACTCTCCCATTTTTCTCCCTGGGAAAAATTGGGAAGTGATTAGTCATTCATGTACGCAATGCCAGTCCATGCACTGGGGTTTGTACAACCCAGTCTAATTCAGCAGAGTTTGGTATCAAACACAGCTTAGGCTGTTTTCTCCCTCCTCCCCCCCTCACCTCCAACTATTAGCAAATCCAAAATAGAGGTTGTTCACATGCTTTTTCAAGGTTTTCATCCTTCCCCTTTTCCTCCACCAAAATAATATTTTGTGTGTATGATTAAATCCCCTTTAGTATATTCATTTTGTTACAAAACACCTGCATTAGACTCCGAATTCATGTTACTCTCCAATACTGTAAACAGTGACCAGTAGCAAACACTAGAGCCTGTTGAAGAACAAAAAATACAGGCTTCTGCGAATAGCCATCTATTAATAGCAGACAAATCCCTGCTATAGCCAGCAGTGGTAATACCCTGATACTTCACAGTTAACCGTTACAAGTCCAACACATGAAGATATCATCCTATGCTGCAGGCTGATGTGCATCTCTTCAAAGAAGAAGAAACAAAGCGTGCATTTTATGATACTGAGAGGCAGTTCTGCTTTGTTTTTCAAAGTGCTACGTTTAAATTCTCAGCTCATCCAAGTGACCCATTCTGAGATGAAAGGTGAGGTGTGAAAGAGACTGACAGGGTCACTCTGGTCAGCCCCACACCACCCTAAGAGAGTTTCACCACACACACAGCCAGGACAATAGCGATAATGAGCACTGCAGAGAAAATAATCCCAGCTAGAACCTTGCTGATATCACAGAAGGATTTATTTTCCTCCACGGAGATCATGCCAATAGAAGATGCGCCGACGCTGATGGTGGATTTTAGTTCGGCCCCCGGGTCTTGCTTAGCCTCTACTGTCCACTGGGGGACATTGACCTTCATTTCCATCTCGTACATCATCTCTCCTACCTGGTTAATCTCATTTTCGAGGTCTTTCAAATCCACCACGTCTATATTGTGCTCGGCCTCATATTTCATGTTCTGGACGCTCATGGCCCTGGCAGCCACGCCAGAGGTTCCCCCACTCATGCCTGTTTGGATCAGGTGCTTTTTGGGGACGTTCAGTGGGAACTCGTGGCCCAGCTCCAGGGCTCTCCTCATGTCTATCTCCAGGATCTCTAGGCACGTGGAGAAAATCACCCATAGCCTCTCGAACTCAGCTTTATCTTCTTTACTCACGGTTTTGTCCTTCAGGACCGTGGTGAGCTTGTTTCTGTTGGCCACCGCTAGCTCCTGGGCTTTCTGCCGGGTCTTCTTGAGCTCTTCGCGCAGGTTCTGAGAGTCCGAAGTGCCGCCAATGGTCAGCACCATGTGCCGGTAGCAGGCGGTCACCTTGTTGAGCGCGTCCAGCAGCGCTTTGCACTCTTCCTTCACCATGATCCCGGCGGCAGGTGCCTCCGCGCCGGTCTGCCCTGCTTCTGCTCCGCCCGACTACCCGGTACCGGGACCAGGGAGCTGCCAAAGGCGGATGCTACCAGCACACATGGCAGGCAGTGGCTTCAGGTCGCGCTGCATTCAGCACCCTCTCGCCCGCCTCGCTTCCTCGCCGGCTGCTCAGGCGGCTCCGACGTCTCCGGGAGCTCGGGCGGGCTGCGAGGAGCCCCGAGGGACAGATAGCATCGCTCCCAGCCCGCTACCGCCGCTGTGCCGCGGAAGCGAGGTGGATCATTCCGCACCGCGCTGAAACGGGACTCCCGTAGATCGGGCGCCGCTTTTTGAAAAGCGCCGAACACTGAGGAGGGAGGAGAAAAATCAGATCAAAAGAAAGCAAGGCTCTCGAGGGCGGCAGCCGACGGCTGGCTAAGGCTGGCTGTTCCCGGCCGCCGACACTCACGTTCAGCCCACCCCAGCTAGAAGCCTGCGGGGTCACATGCTGCCACCTGGGGAATGCTCGCTACTGCGGGCGCGCCTCTGCCCGGCTCTATAAGGCCTCTCAGGCTCCGCCCCACCCCAAGCTCCAATTCCGCGGCGGCTGCCAGGCTCCACGCTTGTTTCCCGTCGGCGCCTGGTCATTGGCTTCGTGCGGCGCTGTCGCCGCGCCGGACCCGCCCTGGATTCCGGTAGGGCTTGGCCGGGGCGCGGAGCGGTTGGGGGAGGTGGGCCAACAGCGGCACTCCGCGGCTGGGCAGGAAGGGAGGCGATGTTGTCGGTGTAAGTAGGGCTCCCTTCTCGGACGCCCCGGCTCGGTGTCCGGCGACTGGACGCCTTCCTGCGGCGCCGGTTACGGGACCTGCTCTAGGAAGCTGCCGCCAGGCCCCAGGGAGGTCTCGTGGGTGCCTCTCCGCCCCTCCGTGACAGGCAGGCTCGGCTGCGGCCTGCCCGCCGTGCTGGGGCAGGGGCTCTGCCGCGGCCTGCGCCCGGGACGGAGCGGCGGGGCGGGGCGGCGGTGTTCGGCTTTTGCTGGCTCTTTGGCCTGGCGGCACAGGGCGGTACCTGCGGTCTCGTCGGCAGCCGCCTTCTGTCTCGTTCCTCCACCAGAAAGTGCTGTGTGTAGTGTTGCCCTTCACGTAACGCCAGGTTGGGTACGCGGGGTCAGTGCGGTCGGGTTCCGACTAGACCCCATAGCGCAGCGCTGGGAGAGAGCTCACCGCATCCTCCCTCTGTAACGGGGTGTTTGGGAAGGGCTGGTGCGCACTGAGAGTGCCTGCAGTTAGCAATTGAACATCGCAGTGTAGGAAACACACCGGTTCCTTGCTGACCCAAAGGATGCCTCGTAGACAAGTCTTGTGAGTGTGCTGAAGCACGATATTATGGTTAGTGGTGGATAGTAGGCCATGCTTATATGTACATCTGAGCTGTCTAGAAGACCAGAATTGATGGTGTTGAATGCTACAGAATAAACTAAGCTGTGTTGTCTCCAGCACATGAGGCATCTTTGCCAGTGTGGAGTTCTGGAAAGAGAACTTGCTTGACAAAACATATGCTGCTGCATATGCATTGATGTTTGTGTTTTTCTGATACTAAAGTAGCTTGAAAAAATATGAAGACATGCTGTGATGAGAAGGGGAAGCATGACTCCCTTATCATGCCACCATTGTAGTGCTGTGTGTGCTATGAGCAAGGTAACTTGCTGTGAAGAACAGAGTTCAGGCAGACTGCGTTTCTGGTGCTGAGCCTAGCCTGTACAGTCTTCTAAACTATGTTCCTTTTGGATCTTAGTAGCCTGGACTCCACTGACTGTTTTTTTTTGTTGTTCTGCCTTAATTTTAGCCCTAATTCTAAGCCATAAGTAGCTTCTGCTGCAAGTTGCCACCTGTGGAAGAAACTTCTGTAGATTGCCAAGTTACTACAGAGTAAACTGAGTAGCTCTCCTAATTTGTGTGTTGGAAGCCTAGATATGAACCAGTAATGTCTGTTTCCTTATAGGAATAAAGAAACACAGAAGATTTTGACCTCATCGTAAGTAAAGTCTTATAATTGCTTAATCATTGTCAGGTGGAAAAAGGATTAGCTCTGGGTTTGAATCTGGAGTCCTGTGTGACTTAAGTGTTAAGCTTATTGCAAACTAAATGATGCATATTTATGTGTGTACTACAGTAGCTGTGTTTAGTCTGCCACATATCACTAAAATTACTTTTCATTGTTGCACATCAGAATCTTGAAACTGCTTCTCTGAAAGTGGCTGAAAAGGGGGGGAGTGTTGTTTCAGGAACATGTGACTACTTAAATCTGAGGGTGGCAGCAGTTGTAATCTATATCAGATAATACCTAAATACATCTTTAGGTGCGTCATGTGGGAAGAAAGGCTGTTATTTAGATTAGTTCTAAATTAAGTTCAGCTGCATGCAATTATACAATTCAGGCAGATTGTGGAAATGCTTAAAAATCAGTTATATTTGTCAGACAGACATGGTGTTCTGAAATCCAGATCTTTATACTGCCTTCAAAGATAATGCCAGCTAACTGAAATGTTGTATTGGGAAGTTAGGATGGAGTGTAAAACTCCTTAAAAATAAATTGGGGTGTTAGCATGATGAGTAGGGAGAGATGTGTTTCCTGGTTCTGTGGAAAGACTTTCTTGCAATTGATGTTAATGATCATAGTCTTCCTATTTCAGTACCCTTAAAAATGTTTGCAAAGTATTGTGATGGTTCTTGAATGTCACTACTTCTTAAATCCTATATCTTTAATAGACTTGTAAATAGAATTTTAAGTGAATACAAGTCTGTTTTGTTTAAGTGGTTGATGAGCCTTGCCTGGTGGCTTACTTCTGGAGGAAGCTTCTATAAGAATTCAGTCTGTGGAATGCTGTAGCCTGGGAAAGCTTGAAGCCACTGTGAAATGAGTGGGGAAAATAAGGATGGGGTACAGTGAAAATGAAACATGACTTTGAGCCCTTCCCTCACCCAGATAACTCTGTATAACTTCCTCCAATAACTATTCTGTGACTTGCTTTCTGCTAAGCATTTTGCTAATAAAGTGGCTTGATCCATGGGACGAATCTTAATTTATATAATGGAAGACTGTTAGACTGCTATGTCTGTGTGAGGGTATTTACTGCCAGAAAGCTTTTAATTATCTGAGGCTGGTGTATGGTGCATTATATAGCCTCAAAACAGTAGTGGTGGTTAAAATAATTTATTTTGCTAGTTAGAAGAACTTACCTGCTGAATTGTGTTTCAGCTTTCCTTACCCTTGCTCTGCTCCCTAGAGGAGGGAACTAGTGTAATTTTACACTGTTTCTCTTTTCTAGATATTTTAGTAATGATCTGATGTTTATCTTACTGTAAGTCTTAGAGCTGGCCTGCATGGACTTGGTTGTCCTATTCAGGTATACAGAGAATGGACTAAATTCCTGTCCAGTTGTCTGGTCTAAGGACAATCTGCACTAAGGTTCAGGGTTGCTGGCTTCAGTTCCCCTGTATTTCTGTGGGTGGCCTATGCTGGGTCTGACCCCACATACTGGTTTCTTTACAGACTTGCTGCTAGTCTTGGAACTGATACCAACCTTATGTGGTTTGCTGTGAGCAGGGGTTGTCTAGCTCTGTAGTCAAGAAATGGTGGTGCCTGCTGTGACCCATGTCTTGGCAGTACTGTGTTCAGACCCACAGCACCCTCAATACACAGGCTGGGGAATTACACTGCTGTCTTGCCTCAGTAGCTAAGAATCAGAATAACTGGCTTACGTAAAATATTTTTAATCCTTGTATTTCAGCTCCTTAGTTTTCCTCCCCATCCAAAGAAGTACTTGTGCTGACACCTCTTCAAGCCTGAGCAGGTGGCCTTAAATACAGCTTACTAATATTTGGAGGAAACATCCTTGTTTGAGCAGCTGTCCTGGGAACTTTGTTAATGTTTTACTGTAAATGTTCCTTGTAACTGTTTGTGGTTCACTGACCAGCACTCTGCACTCAGTTCCAGGGCTTGCTTGTGATTAGCTCAGGATTCCTTATCTCAGAATTTAATGGAGCTTTAAAAGCGGTAAGTAAAAGAATGCAAAGAAATCCAGCTATTCCAGTGGATTTCTAAAGCTGTGAGAATTTGGGATCTAGTCTCTGTTGTGAAGAGGAGAATGCAGCTTGTTCCTAATACTTGGCTACAGACAAGATTATCTCAAAAAAATCAATGGAAGTGACTGGATAAAAGTGGGAAGCTTGCCTGTTGGCGAGTGAGGCACTCAAAGTGTAATTTCTGTGGAGGAAAGAAACAGGTGACTGGAGAGTCAAGATAGTATGTTCTTTACTGTCACATCTGAGATAAAAATGCATCCACAGCAAACTGTGGTGCTAATACACTGTTACAATAGAATCATAGAACAGTTTTGGTTGGAAGAGACCTTCAAAGGTCATCTAGTCTAACACCCCTGCAATGAGCAGGGACATGTTCAACTAGATCAGGTTGCCCAGAACTACATCCAGGCCTTGGATGTTTCCAGGGGTAGAGCGTCTACCACCTCTCTGAGCAACCTGTTTTGATATTCTACCATCCTCATTCTAAAAAGTACAAGATCTGAAACGTCTTACTACTTCTTAAGAATGGGCTTGGTTTTGGAGCTTACGAGGTGGTGGTGAGGGGTCATAACAAAAAAGCTGTATGAGGACTTGATACAAACCGATCTGCCTGTACTCCCCTGTTGCTGGTAGGTGCTGTAAAGTCCCTGGGGGTCATTGTCTGAGAAGGGTGGGAGCAGTGGTAGGAGGGCTGGACTTGCTAGGTCTAAAAAGGGCTTGGGGGATGTTGCCCAGAGACAAAACCAAAATTATGAGATCCTGTGCCATCTCTTAACCCTTCACTGGAAGAAATATGTGCCTGAAGGGGAGGGGCTGGGAGAAATGAGCATCTTCCTGGAATGCTGCTGACCCTTTCCAGACCCTGTTATATTGCTGTCAGACTGATGTTTTGGGATCATAAAACTTAGCTTTTCTCTGCTTGCTGGAAAGCCTTAGGCTGATTGCAGATTCAATGCTCTGTAATCTGATAATTCAGAGGTGTTGCTCTGACATAATTCAGTCTCACAGAAATCGATACAAGCTCAATCTGAAAGGGGTAGGAATAGATGGTTTCCTCCTTTGCTCTCTTGCAGTGAACAGGGTGCACTGGAACATCTTGACTGTTTTTCATATAGTGCTCAGTGTTCATCCTTTAGGGAGTGAGTAAAGGTTCTTGTGTGCTCAGAAACAGTGAAGGGTTCTTTTGTTTTTGTTTTGAGGTGAGTGCTGGTTTGAGGGTTGTAACCTGTGCCCAGAAGTAGAGTAAATGAAGAATAATTGTGCAGGTAAAGCAGTGGCTGAAGTAACAACTAGATTTTTATTTGGGCTGAGACTAGTTAAATTACACGGTTAAATTCCTTTTTGCAGAGTGCT